CCTAAATATTCAGACACATAAAGGTAGCCCAGCCCTATAAAAAGTAAGTGATTAATACCTATCGGATCAATACCCTGGGTTTTGACAGGTAAAATAATATATATTATCTTTGTCATTATTTTTTTTTAAATATATTATTTATATTATTTACTGACAGTATGCTATGTGGTAGAAACAAAAGGGGTTTGTATTATAATTTTTATTAAATATATAATTTGTAAGTTGGTTAATAAAGAATTTAATTTAATATAATTTATTAAAACATATAAACATTGTCTAGTCTCGTTAAACATTGACACAACACACAAACTCCATTCGTGTAGGCCTAATTTCTTTCATATCACATCCCTGGACAGGGGTGGATTTAAGGGGTGGGCCAATAGGCTCGAGCCCCCTCTTTTGGTCACCAAAAACATTGGGGCCCCTGTTTGATACATTTGTGCACATTTTTTTAGGCCTACTGCATCTGCCCCTGGCCCATTTGTAGTAGGTCTAGCCCAATTCAAGAAATTACCAGCATAACATATATGTAGGCCTACTGGTATATAATCGTATTAAAATTATGTTACTTTTGCCAACAAAAACCACACGTTGGAACTTGTCAACAATATTGTCACACAGCGACAGTCAGGAGTATGTAATTGATGGGTCTACATAAAACAAATGTATGCAACATTGCCTTAGCGCTTATATTAGACTGAGTGACTTCTGAGACTTGTAGATAATACATCCAGATAATAATATTTATTAAGTCTGCTATTTTCATAAACCTGTAGCCTACTAGGATGAAACTTAAGTTACAGTTTAAATTTTATGGTGTATTTAAGGTCATAGATGTTGGTGTTGCCTTTTCCGAGTCTAACGTTAGTTTTTATACGGTCCCCTAGAAATAGTTTTTCCACGCTGTATACGATAAACCAGGCCTGACAATAAACTTATTGAAGTATGCCTAGAAGTTAGGCTGTCATTATTTGACAAGTATATAGGCATATTAGCCAGCGTCAGTCATATTTGTAACTCAATAAAATCTGCATGCTCTTACCATTATATATTGTTTGTTTGATATTGAATTTCTTGCAGCATAAAAACTTGTACACCGGCTTGTAGATAATCAGTAAAATGTGTTTGGCAACCTTGACGTTCCTTCGGCATGACTTCCGCTTTTCGATTATATGGGGCCGTCTCCATGCAACACGATTTGTGGGCGGACAGGATGCAAGATGTTTATATGATATAACGGGTTATTTAGATAAAAAAAATAAGGTGATTAGCCAGATCGCACAGACCTAAACCAGTTAGATTAAACATGTGTTCTATTACTATAATAAGACACTCCATTCTGAGCCATTCTTCCGTTATGTAAATGCATGAAGCCTATACTAACTAGTGTTAAAAACAAATCGGGATGTGCAGAAGTGGTCCGGCCATAGCCGGTAAGGCCGATACGGTTCCTACGGCCTTGCTAAGCAGTCATCACGTGCACCTGCTGTGTTTTGCAGGTCAAGGGCAAGCATAAATGTAGCCATTCTATTTGGGTTGGCACGAAATACTATGGGTATAGGGTATTGTGCAATCCGGAAATACATACTGAGCCATGATTGGCTGTCTTTGGAACTCATGGTGAGCCAGGAGAAATTAATCACAGTTTGAACTCACTCAATGCTTGTTTTTCTAGCAGTTGGATACAATAAACATAGTTTTTTATCCAATTCAAGTGTGTAGTTTGGATTGATTACTTTCCAAACAGTAAAATATCATCATTCTGGAGACCACTGCAAAGACTGCAGTTGGAAGCACTAGCATTGCTGGGACAACAGTGCATGATGAAAAGATCCTAAACAAAACACTTTTGTTGATGATGATGTTCCTGGATGCCTTAGACAAATAAGGTCATCAAACCAACCAACATATTTATCATGCACACATTGAAATGGGACTGTGGAAACGTTATGTACAAAGCATCGCATGGTTTCTGAAACAGACTCTTCTATTAAAATGATTGCAGAAATG